ATATAATAATAATTTTATCTATTAATTTGTTATTTATTAATTTATATAATAAATTAATTTATATAATAAATTAATTTATTATATATTAATTTTATATATTAATTTATTATTTACCATTATAAAATAAACAAGTCCCCAATCTGAGCACGTTTTTCTTCCAACCTCAGAAAACAAAGATTCACACGATGAGAAAGGGTTGCGCAATGTCCTATGACTCACAGGATGAGTATTAGCTGCACAATAAACTACAGGTCATAGGATAAGTATGGGTTGCACAATAAATTACAGGTCACAGGATGGGTATGGGCTGCACAAACTACCGGTAACAGGATGAGTATGGGGTGCACAATAAATTACGGGTCACAGGATGAGTATGGGTTGCACAAACTACTGGTAACAAGATGAGTATGGGATGCACAATAAATTACCGCACAGAGGATGAGTATAGGGTGCACAAACTGGTTGGGTAAATGGAAATGGTTGGGTACATTTCCTTTCACCTAATGCGACTATTCATGTGTCCGGACACCGGCGATTGTGTGGTATTGGCTATTTATTTAACCATAACTTTGCATTCATTTAATAATTATATTAAGATATGTTTTCCTTGAAATGTAGTTACATTATCGTCTACATGTCTTTATTCTGACATAAAGACCTATGGCGTTACTTTGCATATATGCAAAGTAATTATAAAATTGATTGGCTTGTGTGGAGGCCTTCACACTCCCTGAGCGAGCCATCAAGTAACTATAAAAAGGCATATATCTTCACTTTCACTTCAGTTATATATATGTAGCTTATATTTATGTCTTTATGATGACATAGAAAACTTCGTTTATTACAATATCTAGATTAAATTAACATTGATCTTCGGAAGGTCATAGTTCCTATATCGGTAAGGAGAGCGTCGGCCATGAAGCCTTGTTTAAAGTATGAATATTTTTCCTCTAATAAGGTATAATCTCTGTGATGGATTCACAAAAACTATTTTATATCTGCCTTTCTGATAACATATACAAATATAATCTTTATTTGTGAATATTTGTTAATTAAGCAATATATCAGAGGGCGTGTAGGGTTCGGTGTTCAATGAACGAAAAGGACTGGATCACTGTGTACAGGAGGCTGTTATGGCAGCAAACACTCTCCAGGCGACCATATATCTTGGATAAGTCGCTCCACACAATTGTCGCTTGGACCGTCGACTTCCTATGGCGTCACCTCTCACATATTTACGTCTCATTTCGTTATGAAATTAGATTATTTCAGAGTAAAAATAGGTTTGATCATGTTTTACGTGTAGCACCAACATTATAGTAAGTAAATATACCATATTTCTTCATTACTTACGTAATGCTAGGACGATTTGTGTAGTTTTGTGCCGATTTGGGTAATTCTATGGACCGCCAGTATCAGCTCTTATACTGGTAATGGCTCAAAAGGGCCACCACATACGGGCTATTCATGCCCGTGCCACCTTTTGGGTGGCTTAATCTTCATCAATCAATCAATCTCAGAGTCAGTCTCTTATCTTAGTGGTCTTGGATCACCTTAACTTCCTGCAAGGTGGTCTGGCCTCAGCCCACGTGGTGTGCTGGATGCTGTAGTGGTATGGTAGTTGTCTTCAGCACTCCAGTATACTCTTGTATTGTATTACCTTCAAACTTTCATTTACTTATTTTATTTGTTCTATAATAAGAACCAAGTTTTCTCAGGTGCCATTTTTGTTCATTAATATTTCAGAAAATTGTTTTAACTATTTATTTTATGATTTTCATTTGTTTCTACCTGCGACTTACACACTGCAAGGGGGGCCAAAGGAGCATTTCTGTATTTATATGACAGAGAGCCATATGACCTTGGTTCAGTATAGCTGACATACCATAACCCGTCACAATATTCTTCAAATGTTGCTACAAATTAACTACTTACAATTATCTGTATTAAGGAAAATTAATTATCAATTAAGGACCTCCCCCGAAATGATACGCGTCTCACAAAACCACTATGATACTTGCATAGTGGTTTTGCAAGAATGTAAAAAACGTCAATGGTATGTACTCTCACAAACCCAATGTACCTTCTTGTATATATATTTATACAGTAAAATAGATAAATAAATATATTAAAGTGAACCAATAAATGAGAGTTAGTGATAGAAGCGGCAGTAGAGGTCCGTTCTCTATGGTGGTGAGTGAGGGAGAGCAGCGGTCCGGGTGCCAAGCGCCCACAGTCAGGGTCCTCCCGTATTTACCTCTGTCAAACCATCCTTCTCGCCGTATATATCCTGCTTGTTCCTCTCATGCGTGACAATGATGAGTGCGAAAGAATAGTACAAAATGGTGTTGAAACGCTAAGCTCCGTCTGAGAGACATCATGTGAGGAAGATAAGGTCTGGAAACTCCTGTGCAGCCTTCTGTGAAGGAGTATTGTCGTCTGCCGCTGTCAAGGCTGTCAGGTCTCGGGGGCTGTCAAGACGGTCAACATGTCCGGCAAGACCAACCGTGCCAACCGCTTGGAGACAGATATAGAGAAGAGCAGAGAAGAGAGTAACTGGAAGAGAGTAATTGAGCTCGCTGAGCATCTCAAGGCCAGGAACCAGCCTGGCTTGGGTAGGTGTAAGGAGCACCCCAGTACTGGCCCCACCCCTTTCCCCTGGGAGCACGTCAACTCGCCCCAGTTTACAACTTGCCCCAATTAATGATTCGCCCCTAGTTAACTAGTTCCTCCTTGTTTACGACATACCTTAGTTCATAACTCGCTTCTAGTTAATGAATTGCCCCCAGATAACGACTCCCCACAGCTAACTACTTGCCCCGTAGTTAACAGCACCGTGTAGTCATACTTGCCGGGCAATTTCTCCTGATAATTACCTTGCCTCTCCTTTTGGTTAATGTTAATTTTGAATTGGTTATTACAGTATTTTTGCTTTAGAGTTGTAAAAAGTCATTAAACGTTGTTCTGCACATTTTCAGGTACAGTAATGGCAGTAATGCCCATACAGTAATGGCTATAAATAAGCTTTTCAATACTTACAAAGATGGAGATCAGTAGGTTAGAAGTGGTCTCCATGGCGCAGCGGTAATACACTCACCCCACGCTTCGCAAGTGACTTGGCCTGGGTTCATATCCTGGCCGGGGAGGATTGACTGGGCACCAATCCTTAACTGTAGCCTCTGTTCACCCAATAGTGAATGGGTACCTGTTTGGTAAACGATTTGGCGGGTCATATTCCAGGAGAAATTAAGAATAAGGGGTTGCTCAAAACACTATGTATGCTAGTGGCTTTGTAAGAATTATTGTATATAAAAATAAATAAATAAATAAATATGTTTGTAAATGTGTTGCTGTATTGTATAGTCAAGGATTGATTATCTTGAATGTTGTCAGCAGACATTCACATGCAAGTAAAAAGTATTGTACTAGTTAAAAGTGTACTTGTATGGAATTAGCATCTGTATGAATGAAGAAATTGGGGTAGACATGTTTGGTGTCTTATTTTATGTTTTTGTCTTTTATGAATTCACTTTTTCATGTAATTTTGGCATTCAGATTACAATTTTATCATGTACAGCAGCAAATACATTAATTAAGATAGCAGTCAAGAAATTCAGTGTTGGTGGTGTAATTAAAGAGTACAGTAAATTTTTTTCATAATATATTTTATACTTGCCTAATCTTAATAAGTTAGAACAGTACAGTCTCCTAATCTGGCAGCCATGGGGCCAATCAGTTGCCAAAATTTGGATGTTATTGAATTTTAGGAAAGATATTCTGAGGAGCTGGATTGTGGACTCAACAATTTCCAACTTTACCAGTTTAGATTTTATAAGCAATGAAGTTTTTATATGTCTTTGTTATTTTCATATAAATACAATACTTTATACTGTGTAATTTCCATTGCCGGGGACAGGAAGCCTGTAATTGGGCTTATCGAGGTACCCCCCCACCCCCCTAGATCAACTTGACCTTCCCCAGGATGCAGCCCAATACAGTTGCCTAACTGCCGGGTGCCTATTTTACTGCTGGATCAATAGAGGCATCAGGTGAAAGGAAATGTGCCAAACTATTTTTGTCCTTCTGGGGGATTGAACCCAGGCCTCTCGGTTGTGAACTGGTGACGTATACCACGTCCTCGACGTGATGCAAGCGTTGAAATTTTACTTGCCAAAATCCTGCACTTGATCATTTCCAGCATGTACAATGTACACTACAGTTTTGAGCAAAAACACAAACAACCACAAAAAAGTTTAAGTACATGACTGTAACAAATAAAACTTTAAACATAATCCAACAGTTTGTGTTGGTTAAGTCAACATCAATATGAGTGCAAAATCTAGTACAGTAAATTGCTGTAAGAATGAGGAGCGAGTCTCGTAAGCCATGCTGGAGTTTGGATGTTTTCCTGAACTTGGCATACCAGTTATGAGACCATACCATAGCACTGAGAATATAACCACAGCATATACAGTAATTATTTTGTGAAAGCGCATATTTTTGTTAGCTTGAGCAGTGATAGGATAGTATATTAAAAAATAATTACAATTGTAATATATTTTAGAATTGTTTTATTTTCAGAAACCCTAGCCAATTTTCTCATTGGAGAAGGCAAGCTTGAGTCATATTTAGAGGAAAACCCTCCTACTGAAAGTAATATTTCTAAAGCCAAGAATGGATTGTCTGAAGCTCGAAGGTATCTGCTTATGTGCATCGGAGATCCTTCAAAGAAGGTGAGATATAGCTCAAGTTTATTACGCATACCTAAGCTGATGTAGTGTATGTAGACAGCTTTTCAAACTTGTGCTAGTGTGTGCCCAAATGTGTGTTCTGCCATGGGAATCGAACCCGGCATCTCTCGATTCTTTGCAGGCTAAACTGACCACTGCCCTACAGGATTTCAGGAATTGAAATTTGCCAATATGTACAGTATAGCCTAAGTATATTATGGTCAATATAAGATGCTAGTATCTTGCCTTGTAGCCATATCTTTCATCTGAAATCCGAAGAGGGAATTCATCTGAAGGGAGAATTTTTGAACTTGTAAAGGGAAAGGGATGACATTGAATTTAAATGCCTCCCTATTTATAGGTGTGTCTTGGTCAGTTTAAGGACCATATGGGCTGGCTAGTAACTAGATGGGTGACCACATAGGGGCAGTCATCCCTAGAATCTGGTTTCCTTAGGATTTCCCCTGACTTTGTTCCCTTGGTAGATGCTCTGCCACATACAAGCTGTGTTTTGTTTATGAATACTCTTGTGGATAGTAGTTTTGCCTGCTTATCTTCTGTATTTTTGTCATTTGATGGGGGTTCCCCTTGTCCCTTGTGTATACTTTGATGGGGTTTCCCTTGTCCCTTGTGTATACTTTGATGGGGTTCCTCTTGTCCCTTGTGTATACTTTGATGGGGTTCCTCTTGTCCCTTGTGTATACTTTGATGGGGTTCCTCTTGTCCCTTGTGTATACTTTGATGGGGTTACCCTTGTCCCTTGTGTATACTTTGATGGGGGTTACCCTTGTCCCTTGTGTATACTTTGATGGTGATACCCTTGTCCCTGGTGTATGCTTTGATGGTGGTTACCATCAAAATGGTTACCACAATGTAATGATATGATTAGTTTACATTAGTTCTCCCTCAAACTATTTTCTCATTGTCCCAAATTACTCACTTTATACCAAAAATGTTAGTTTGATTTAAAGTGCTGCACACCTGTTTAGTTCATCCATTACTGTAATGATTTGTACAGTTACAAATAATGTTTCTGATCTTGTAGTCAATGACAAAATTTTGGCTTGTAAACTCGCCTGTGTATGTCCCACTGTCTTGATTGTTGAGCAAGATATACACATAAAGTTACAGTATTTTTCCTTTTGTATTTATTACATGTACAGTGTATATAAGTGGATAAATCCCCCTCGGCTGATGACCTGGCTATGCTCCACAAATATTAAATGGTAGTGGGGTCTGCCGGGGCAGTGCCCAGTAACTTGTGTTAAAATCACATGCCAGCTTTTACTTCTAGGTATGAGCATAGGTCTAACTAACATTCTCTCTCTCTATCTCTCTCTCGCTCTCTCTGTGTTTCAGTGTACTTTCCCGCTTTAGAATAAGCTACATCCAAATCATTTCTTTCCCTATAACTGATGTCAGCATCTTTTATATACTATACTGTTACCTCCATACCAAAACACCTGTATATTGTCATCAATTACATTGCTGGACTTCATTTTGATTTTGATTTGTTATTTATATGTAATTTCTTATGATGCGTTACCAGTTTATAAATGTGACGAATATTAAATGTGTACTTCAATCATTTCCTTCAACAGGGAGAGGTAAGACAAACAGGAGCTATCATCACCCTCGAGTATCAGTTTGATGTGAAAGTAATAACTGTTCTGGTATTTGATCATTCGTTACAGTACAAGTATTTTTTGGTTCAAAGTGTTTACTTGATTTAGATAAGCTGTGATCTTAATTTCTTTTATGATAAAGAAATACACTGCTGGTTTGGCCTACTCCTCCACCCTTCGCATCTGTTTTTTTGACAAGGGTATATCACCACTTGCATGGTGATCAGGTGCCTTCTTTGATGGTGTCCTACCTGCGAACGTCATCTCGACAACAGTATGATGTTCCTGGTGTTCTTTTCGCCATTTTCTATTTCTTTGTATTTTGTCTTCTATTTCTGATAGGGTTGTTTTGTCCTTTATTGGCTTTTTCAGGACCGTCATTTGATCCCCAGTACTGTCGTCTCTTTTTGTGCACTGCTGGCGGAGACGCTTCAGCTTGCACTCAGTGTGGATGTCACTTTGGCTCCATTTTGCAAGCTTTCTCGTGCTTTGTTTCACCTCCTGCCTGCTCATGCGCCGCCGAACCGTCCTGGTCCTTGGACCGGGTACTCTCTTTTCTCTCTCCTCCTTGGTTTTTGGTGGCCCCTTCGGTTCAAGTTTTTCCAAGACTATGTTTCTGTTGGCATTGCCCTCTGGGGTTCAGGTTGGTGAGCTTCATGTTCTCCTCCAGCACAGGAGTTTCTGCTCTTTCTGTCCTGGTGGTCGGTTTGTTCATTTGCAGCTGTCTTCTTCTTTTCTGGCAAAGAACAAGACGATAGCCTTCTGGAGGGGCCCCTTGAGTCAATGATGCTTGGTTGGTCAGGCCAAGGGTGCATCATGTGTTGTGTCCTATTGCAGCTCTTCACCGTTATCTGCGCGCCACAGGTTCTTTGGCCATGGACGCGCTTTGGGTTGATCCAGTTTCCCTCGTTCCCTGTTCCAGGGCTCGGATCTCTAAGGTCGTCCACATGGTTCCTAAGTCTTGCCAGCCTGTGGCCTACCCTCGTGCCCATGATGTTCGTAAGTTTGCTGCTTTGGCTGTTGTGTTTGGCAACATGTCTTGGGCTAACATTTGGGTGCAGGGGTTTTGGAGGTTTAATAGGGACCTGGCTGCCCATTATCTGGTCAATATTCCTCGGTCCCGGTCATTCGTGTGTGGCTTTGGGTCGCAGGTTGCAGCCAGTTGTCTCGACTTTGAAGTTGATGAGCGTGTGGTGGCAGCCTCCCTGTTAAGTCCCTCATTTACTTGTCTTTGGTTAGGTAGCTCCAGGGAGCTGGAGAGGCTTCCCTCAGAAAACCAGCGTTGAATGTAATGAAATGCTATTTTCTGGGTGAGCTCCAGAGGCTCCCTGGCACCCTCCCTCCCTCCGGTCAACGGTTTCCATTTTGTTTTGATGCTCAGCCTCCAAACTGGAGGTGTGTGTCTGGCATGGGGTGGTTCGGGGCTTCCCCTCCCGGGAAGGGGAGGGCTGCGTGGATAAGCGGCCTGGTGGCTGTGTATGACGTTTGCTTGTTTACTTGTTTCTTTGGGTTGGGGGAGTTCTGCCTCTGTTCAGTCTTCGGTCGCAATATTCTTACCATGTGGGGTCTGTTTTGTTACGCCTACCTTTCTGGGTGCCTAACCCCAGTCAATGGCAGACATGGAATGCCCCCAAATACATGGGGGTTTCCATAGGCCATTGCTCCCTTTGCCTCTCTGAAGGGGCCAGGTTCTGGCTCGTGGACCCCGGTAGGCTGAACTTCAATTGACTGATGCCCCAGATTAATATAGTGTATATCGGTCCAATAGCTCCAGGGAACCTCCGGGTCTTGCCCAGAAAATGGCGTTTCATTACATTCAATGCTGGTTTTTTAGTTGCTGTAAGAAAATTTTTAATTTGTTAATATTTCACTTCAAAGTACAATACTCATGTTTATCATTACAAATTTATAGCCACAAAATATCAATTTATTGTTGATTATTAAGTAATGTGAAAGATTGATGATGTACAGTACTTGTTAATGGGAACAACATATTACATTCATGTCAATATTTTTGCCTTTATCAAAGAAGAATTTAGTATTGCTTATTATCTTACATAGTCATAATTCTTGCACTGTTAATGTATATGTTTATTGCACTTATTGAAACTTACAAACCAGATGAAAATTGGAATATATAGGCATATACAATTTTATTTGTGGATTGTGTTCGAACATTATTCCAAATGAGTCTGTCGATATACCACACATTGGCTTGCTTTTAAAGCTTGAATTTTTGCCAAGACCAGATTAGAAGCCTTTGGGAAAGCAGTAGCAGAAGTATTGGTCTTCTTTAGATACAAATCTTAGCTGTGTGTAAACGTGTGTATGAGATGCTGCCAGTGCTCAGTTGATCATTGGCATGTTTTCTGTTATGTTCTGTACCTCATATCTTCAAGACGTGTTTAACCATTTTGCTTCTTATCTTCATATTCCACAAGTCCATGTTTGGTGCTACTGTGATACAGTATATTTAATTGTGAGTGAGTTATGAGGATGATGCCTGCAGCTGTTTCCTGTTGCTGCTTCTGGTGTCCTAGTTGCTTAGACACTTAGTAAAGTTTAGGCATGTGCTGTTAGGAGGTTATTTCTGAAGTAACAACATGGCACTGTACAGGTGTTTACAAATGCCATATGTGCACGTGTATAAGCTGTCCTGATTCTATTGGCACATTTCATACAATAAAGCATAGTTTCTGATTTTAAACCACCAGCCAAAGTGGAGAAATTATTTTAAATCCTGACAAATATTTGTTTAATAATTTTTTGTGTCAAGGAGCAAGTTTATTAGGCAGTGCCATTCATTCTGTGAGTGAATTTAGTGCCTTAGCAGTATACACAGCACCCCTATAGGAGCTTATCCGAATGCAGCTAAAACTCGGTATTGAAACTTTCCATTGCCCTCAATTGTATGTAATTACATGAGTGTAAAGTTGGGTAATCCTTTTTGAAAAGCAGCAATAGAATATGAGCTTTAAATAACCCAACCCACAAATATAAAGTATATTAAAAATTATATTTCAGTTCATCCTAAACCCTTATCACGTCTCAACTTTATTGAGGTCCAGGATGGACTGAAATGTCATTCACTTTCATTTAATATTTGTGGGTTAGGTTATTGGTTTTCTGCTATGTTATTGTGACTTATTCTTTAAATATGAGAGTTATGTTACTGCACCTACACTGTAATACAGTATTTCTGATGTTTCATAGGTGGGCATAATCTCCCAAATGGTGTTCCAGAGGATATACTCCTCTTATGTTGCAGATTCTGCATCTTGTTTATAATTTACCTGAAGGCCACCCTCTCTTTAGTGGCCTCGATGAAGACACAAAACCAGTGGCTTGTCAAAGGTCCCCCCACTCATTTCCTGATGATTTTATCCATAACTCTTACATGATTGGTCATGCCTTTCCTGATGCTGTACTGTGATTGGCCATGATATGAAAGTAAAAATGTTATCTTCACTGTAATTGGTCAAACCAAAGCTGTTGCTGCTCTTTGTCAGCAGGGTGAACTAGAATTTAAACATGCACACATATACAAGATGTTTTGTGGGTAGAATTTAGGCAAGCATCTCCGGACTTCCTAACTTCATGACAGCAGGGCTTGCTAGGTTAACCCACAAGTGTTAGTAAATCCCTGTCTTGCTTCTCATCTTGATGTCTGCTCTCTCACTTTGACATTCTGCCTTTTGTTTGTCAATTACAGATGCCTAGACCTTTATCTAGTGAAGTGCTATCTGTAAGGCAACTTTGCAGTGCAGCTTTCACACATTTCATCTCTTTCAGGGACACTTTTGTTGGATAGTATAGGGTGACTTTGATTTGTGAGTTGGTTATGTTCCTGTAAAAACTGCAGATCAAAAATTGTAAATCACACTAAAATAATAAATAAATAAAATAAATAAAGGGGGAATAAAGTAAATTAGGAGGGAAATAGGGTTACATTCCAAATACCTCTTAACGTTCACTTTTTGTATACTTTAAAAACACTTTTGTCCAGCAGCAATGCAGTCTGCGTCAATAAATAAATTGATGGATGTCCACTGGTGATGCATGTTGCGTCAAACTTTAAAATATTTGTTAAAATTATATTTTTTATCCAATCATTATGGGACTAGTCTTAAAATGCGCACCTTTAGGTTACAAACAATTTGATACCAAAATGAACGACGTAGCACAACAATTGAGGTCAGAAAACTGGAAAGATTATAAATACTTGTGGTGATGAGCATACAAAATTAAAATATTTTTTAAAATGCCATTTATTGTTTGATAATTATGGTACTAGTTTTACAATGCGCACCTTTAGATTGGGAACAATTGGATACCACAATGAATGATGTAGCACGACAGTTGAGGTCAGACCACTGGAAAGATTATACATACTTGTAGTGATAAGCATCCAAATTAAATAGTTGTTAAAATTCCATTTACTGTTCGATTATTATAGCGTTAGTTTTAAAATACACACCTTTAGATTGCAAATAATTTGATACTAAAATGAACAACGTAGCTCAAAAATTGAGGTCAGAACACTGGAAAGAGTACATATGTTAGTGTGGATGTGCGCTCCCAGGAAATGCCAGGCCCCACCTTGGGGTGGGTTGGGGGCGCGCGCCGGGTGCGTGAAAGTGTTAAACAAAACCTACCATATTTTCTGGTGGATAGGCTGCATGTTTGGCTGGCTGCAGAAATTCAACAATGTTTTGTTTGTACTCATCAATATGAGAAGTTCTGATCCGCTTGTTAACTTGAAGATTATAGTTGATGAAGCATTGTTATTTAGATAGAAAAAGTGGTGGTGGATAATAATTGTGTTGGGTTGACCGAAGTGGAGTTAAAATGGTGTTGAGGTAACCTCAGCAGACTGCCTTTCACCATGTACTCTTAATGTTAATAATACCATGGCAGAGTTTAAAGCTTCTGAGCCATCCATTAGTATAAGAGCACTGCTCAAGTGGCACTGTGTATGGTCACTGGACAAACTAGCTCCATCTTTATTGCATATTTTTATTCAGACTTCCTGCCCCACCAGTTATCCAAAATTATTTATCCGAACAAACCCAAATCGGATAACAGGCATTTTTGGAAAAAAAAAGGCCGTTTGTAAAGCACGCAGCTGACTGAATTTTACTATGATGTATGACATGAATTATGGCAAATTGTTATAACGCTAATGATGTATCTTAATGACTTATATGTCTTAAAAAAATATGGAATTTAAGAACATAAGAATTAAGGTAACTGCAGAAGGCCTATTGGCCCATACGAGGCACCTCCTATTTATAACCACCCAATCCCACTCATATACATGTCCACCCCACACTTGAAACAGCCAAGGGACCCCACCTCTACCACGTTATGCGGTAACGTGGTGTATACATATTATGCAAGAAATTAGGACTTTTTGTATAATATTTACTCGCATTTACCAGGCTTAAATATGAGATTGAACATGACACCATATTTGCCTTGTAACCCGGTTATTTTCAACATGGTACTCGTGATAGGTACCCCTGGGTAAATAAGAGCAAACAACAATGATATAACATTGATAACATTGACCCAATGGTGTTTTAAACGTTACTCGAGCGTATTTTACTCACTGGGTATATTATATACTGTAGTCAAATTAAATAATCTTTACTGGATTTCAAATATTCTGATTTCAGATTAACATAGCCAGGGAACTACAAAGTACAGTATTAAAAAAGCACTTTTGTTTTATACCATTTACAAGTTGACGGTTGTGCATGGCTTTCAGTCACATGTGATGTACGTTTACATGCATTGTGTTCATTGTGTTGTGAGATAGATGTTGTATACTAGTGCAGCTGTGGTTACATGAAGAGTTTTACCTCCCGGTAAATTGACGAGATCTTAAGTGAATATTTATAACACTAAACACTATTGTTTTGGGAAGAGGGGGAACATGCTTGGCTCTAGTGAATATTTTCCCCTTACTGACAGTAGATACGCCACTTGGCTTACTATGCCAGCTGGCTCGGATGATGCCAGTCAATTATAAATAAGTCGCTTCACAAGATTTTATGTACAATCACAAAAACATGATATACAGTGGTACCTCCGTTTTCGAATTTAATCCATTCCCAGAGACAGTTTGAAAGCCGAAAATTCAAAAACTGAAATGAATTTTCCCATGAGAAATAATGTAAATTGAATTAATCTGGTCCACACCCCCCAAAAATATTAACTTAAAAATACATTTTATACATACTATTACTAATATTTTGTACTGCAGTATGTACAAGTATATCTTACGTTTATTGAGGACTCTTGTTGGTGTATGGAAGACAGTGAAGAAAGGGGGAAAGAGGAGAGGTATTAATGTTTGGAAGGGAAGTCCCCTTCCATTATAACAGCAGTGATGACATTTCTGGGGTACTCACTCTTTTATGTTTTGTAGGCATATAACTAGGACCTGGTTGTGGCTCACTGCTTGCTTGTCTTACAAAAACTGTCCCTAGACACTTGTTTTTCCCTACATTTTAACAGTTGTGTTGACCAGACCACACACTAGAATGTGAAGGGACGACGACGTTTCGGTCCGTCCTGGACCATTCTCAAGTCGATTGCGCAGTTGTCTGCACTTAACAGTTGTCTGTAGTGAGACATCACATTGTCTCACTATGAAGGATCTCTTGTTTTTCCTCTATCCTCACAGCTATTTTCTTAGGTTGAACTTTACCACTGACTTTCTTGAAACCCATGGTGTGATATATAATAAGAACTTTTATGTTCAGAAACTAAAAAGCACAAAAACAATGAAATTCTTCATAAAGAATTCTAGTGCGGTCTTCACTAAGTGGGAGACACTGGTAAACTGAAGCGCGCCACACGCTCAGTCGGCCCATATGTGTATCAACAAACTCGAGCACCGAGGCAAACCTCGAGTACCGAGTCAAATTTTTCAAAGAAATTGAGCTCGAGAACCAAAAAACTCGAAAATGGGCATTTGAAAACCAAGGTTCCACTGTATCTTGAGAAAATATTGAAGCTGCACGAGAGAATCAAACCTACGTGTGCCTTAGAAGCTCACAAATGTGGCTTTGATCCTATCATATGACTTCAGTGTTTACTCATAGATACTCATAGATACAGTACTCATACGCTTCAGAAATGTTAGCCAAGCTTTTGTGGAAATCCTATTACTTGCTCATACATGTATTTCCTCTTCCCATTCCTGAATACACACAAGGTATTCATGCTATGTTGCAGTAGAGTGCTATTTAGGATGATGACAGTGCAACATAGTATTGCTATGGAATTGTAATCTTGGTATAATGTTTGAAGATTAAATAATTGATTTGTGAAAACTTTACTAACTGCTTGTTGAAAATCAATTTCTCTAACAACAAAGATCCTTTTAAGGTTAAGAATGTTGAAACTACATTGTTCTAAAAATAGATATTGAAAGTTCATGGTAATTGGTTTTCGAATACATTATTGTACTGTCAAAATATTTTGTGGAAAATTTGCATTTTGTTAATTGGTTATTTTATGATTGGATTGTTTGGGCTCATAATATTCCTTTTAAAAATATTTATATGTTAGTTTTATCTTTTTAAAGCAAAGTGGCTAGTATTTTTTGTAAAGCTAATTGTATTCCATGAAACAAGATAATTTATAATTACAAAATCTTGATTGTAATTATCTTCAACTCACTGATTATAAAATTAATGGTGGCAAAAGGATGTCACTGATTATGACATCATGAACCATGTTAACTTTTCAACTTATCTTTGCTGCAAATTTTCCACCAATCTTTTTTTTAAATGATACTATACTGTACTAATATTTGGTATTCCTAAATTTGAAAATGACAGATAATGACAATAAATTTTTTGTTGATAATTGTGTTAGCTGGAAGTGTCCCTGGATGCTCTGCTGCTGCTCTCCAAGTTGGAGTACGCCATGGGAGATTATGAAGGTGCTCTTGGTCGTCTCACCGCTGCTGGACTGGACCAGCTGACGGAGAAGGCTCTCCCTACCAGATCGCTCAGGATAGTAGCCGAGTCCTACGCTATAAAGGGTGGGATGCTTGGCTTTTCTAGTCTGTAATTGCTATTGTTAGGTTGGGTTTTCCTTATTTGATGTATGATAGGCTAATGCAGAATTTATTACATACTATTGAAAATCTTAAGTAGATATTTCTGTATAAATACATTTTGTTTAGTTGCCTCTTTATATTAAAGCAACTGGATTGGGAATCGTGTAGCAGCCCACACATTTGATGTTCTTAGGATATGGAAAATGAATTTCCCATTCAACTGGAAGTTCATTTAACCTGGTTGTGATAGATGGAAATCATTTGCCAAGTACTTGTTTTCTTTGTTATTTGTCTGCCCATCCCATTTGTTTGAATAGTAATTAAATAGTAATTATTTTTCTTTAGCCATTGGATTTGTGTATTTAATATATTTTATAGTAATTTTCTTATGCGAAAGCTTCTATATTTTGTGAATTAGATTATAGTTAACCCTTATCATTACCTCTTTTTATTGTAACTATTTCAATCAGGTTTACATGTACAGTACTGTATTAAAAATTAGTAATCTAATCTTCTTGATAATTTTCATAATTTCTTCAGGACTATGCTCGGCGCCTCAACCCAGAAACAGCAAGTATCATTTTCAAAAGAAAATATACACTAGCTTATGTTTCTAGCTTCTTCTATGTATGTGACGTACTGACGTGTGGCAAATTAGCAGGAGTTGCTTTTTTTTTAGAAATAATACTGTATTGTAATGTAATCCTTTGTGTGAGCCCTGTACCATAGATGCATATACACCATGAATTGATTGAATTGATGAGCCTCTTGCTATGATACCACTAACACCATTTTTGGTAATGAACTCTGATTTGCTAAAGCTGTGGTAATCAAAATTATTATTGCTTTGAAAGGCTGTCTCATAAGGCAAATTGCTTAGGGTTAGTACAGCTCAACTTTTTATATTCCAACATTTTAAATGACAAAGTTTTGGCAACTTGCCATCTATGATGTACTATACTCAGCAAGACAGTCCCATTTCAGTATACTGTATAATAATTGCTGAGATGATCCTCTTTCTGCATACTCATAAGGCAAAGCAACCTCTTGTATGTGCTTTCCAATGAAGTTCCCTTTCTGTATACTCACTGTGTACATTCACTTTCACTTCTATATACACTCGCTTCTCTCTGTCTTTAGTACAGTACTTGCCAAAGAAGTTCCCCTTCTGTATGTTTATTAAGGTAATGTCCTCTCTGGATATTTACTAAATTTTTCTCTACTATATATTGTATTCTATCTGATTCCTTTTGATGTCGCTCGTCTTGCCTTTATCTTGCTTTAGTATTGGCGTCGTTTATCGTGTTTAGGGCTTTTTGGATATTTCCCGACACACTGTGTCCCGGTTTAGTGCCGTCTTTTGATAATTACTTCTTTAGGTAATTTCTTAATTTTAGTACTTACTGTATTTCTTTTGGTAATTATGTACTTCTTTTGGTAATTACTACTATTGTAATTACTACTTTTGTAATTACTTCTTTTGCTTATTACTTAGACATTTTGGTAATGATTTATTTTGTATTCTTTCCATGTCACTTGTAATTAATTTCTCTTTAAAACGGTCACAATTACTGTCATTAAACTTTCTAAATACAAGTTGATCACTGAAAGTTTCAGCACTGCTGTTGAATTTTTGAGGATTCAAGAAGTGTAGAAATGGTCAGTACGTAAACGAACTTTGGCATGCTGCTGCATATGCACATTTAAAGCTGCAATAAGCTCAATAAATAAACAAATCTCTTGTAATTCGTATCTGATCAAAATGTTAAAATATTTCAGTGCTATATACCTAGCTGTTGGCTTTTTTTTTTTTTAATTGTGCGATCTATTATGAATACAAAACTGTGCAGCCCTAAGTATGTACAAACACTTACTTTTCTTATGCATTATTTCTTTATTCTTTCCAGATAATTTTTTTTTATAAGTACTAGTATATCTGGATCAATACTCAGACTTAAAATAATAAGTTACTTATTTTAGATTAGCCCATTTGATTGGCACAGAAATATTACAACTCTTGGTTATTAAACATTATTACTGTAAATATTTAATGCATTTCACAAACAGTACGGAAGGTGAAACTCTCATATGGTGGTTAATAGTAGTGGGCCAGCCAGGGGCTTAGGGCCTCTGGCTGGCCCTAAACAAAAAAAATGAACCTTTATTAATGGTATTCCTGGAAACCGGTTATTTCTGGAGGAATATTCTTGAAATGGTAAACATTCTTGGAGCCAGACTGATCCTAAACATGAGAGCCTTGAAGTTATAGGTGTGCCAAGTGCGTCTTGTGTCCACGTTTTACGTGTATTCTGCCTTTGATTCTTGCATTTCCAAACACTAGATATTGCCATTTTTTCTTTTTAAAAGTACCTACTAATATTTTTTTAATATTTAAGATTATGGATAAGAGAATATAATATAATATAATAAATTTGATGCCATAGTGTGTGTTAAATTTTCTTGGTGTATTTGTATCTTGGAAGACTGCAAATGTTAACTCACTTTTTAGGAAGTTTGAGCATGAAATGTTGCAAAGTATTAATAATATCCATGAAGGGTTATAGTAGAGTTTTGTAGTGGTCATTAATATTGTCCAGCATGTTGTGTTAGCCTGTAAGTCTTGTGTGCTCGCAAGATCAAATATGAGAGTGCTTCTTTTTAGCAAATGGCAGTACAGTACTTTAGCTGGGAACAGTCTTACTGTAAGAATATTGAAGACATGTGATGGGATCGAACCCACGGCTCTGAACTCCTTACGCACATGCAATACCGCCTGGACCAGGGTGGGCTTGTAATTACCTAAGTAATTACCTAAGTGTAGTTACAGGATGAGAGCTACGCTCGTGGTGTCCCGTCTTCCCAGCACTCTTTGTCATATAACGCTTTGAAACTACTGACGGTCTTGGCCTCCACCACCTTCTCACTTAACTTGTTCCAACCGTCTACCACTCTATTTGCGAAGGTGAATTTTCTTATATTTCTTCGGCATCTGTGTTTAGCTAGTTTAAATCTATGGCCTCTTGTTCTTGAAGTTCCAGGTCTCAGGAAGTCTTCCCTGTCGATTTTATCAATTCCTGTTACTATTTTGTACGTAGTGATCATATCACCTCTTTTTCTTCTGTCTTCTAGTTTTGGCATATTTAATGCTTCTAACCTCTCCTCGTAGCTCTTGCCCTTCAGTTCTGGGAGCCACTTAGTAGCATGTCTTTGCACCTTTTCCAGTTTGTTGATGTGCTTCTTAAGATATGGGCACCACACAACAGCTGCATATTCTAGCTTTGGCCTAACAAAAAACATGAACAATTTCTTTAGTATATCGCCATCCATGTATTTAAATGCAATTCTGAAGTTAGAAAGCATTGCATAGGCTCCTTGCACAATATTCTTAATGTGGTCCTCAGGTGATAGTTTTCTATCTAGAACCACTCCTAGATCTCTTTCTTTATCAGAATTCTTTAAAGATTTCTCACATAATATATAGGTTGTGTGGGGTCTATGTTCTCCTATTCCACATTCCATAACATGACATTTATTAACATTAAATTCCATTTGCCAAGTGGTGCTCCATATACTTATTTTGTCCAGGTCTTCTTGAAGGGCATGACAATCATCTAAATTTCTTATCCTTCCTATTATCTTAGCATCATCAGCAAACATGTTCATATAATTCTGTATACCAACTGGTAGATCATTTATGTACACAATAAACATCACTGGTGCAAGAACTGAACCCTGTGGTACTCCACTTGTGACATTTCTCCATTCCGATACATTGCCTCTGATTACTGCCCTCATTTTTCTATCAGTCAGAAAATTTTTCATCCATGATAGAAGCTTACCTGTCACCCCTCCAATATTTTCCAGTTTCCAGAACAACCTCTTATGTGGAACTCTGTCGAAAGCCTTTTTTAGGTCCAGATAGATGCAGTCAACCCAACCATCTCTTTCCTGTAATATCTCTGTGGCCCGATCATAGAAACTGAGTAAATTCGATACACAGGATCTTCCTGATCGAAAACCATACTGTCTGTCTGATATTATATCATTTCTCTCCAGGTGTTCTACCCATTTAGTTTTGATTAGCTTTTCCAATACTTTCACTATTACACTTGTCAATGATACAGGTCTATAATTGAGGGGGTCTTCCCTGCTGCCACTTTTGTAGATTGGAACTATGTTAGCCTGTTTCCACACGTCTGCTACGATTCCTGTACACAGGGATGCCTGAAAGATCAGGTGAAGTGGAATGCTGAGCTCAGATGCACATTCTCTCAGAACCCATGGTGAAACGCCATCTGGGCCAGCTGCTTTGTTCCTCCCGAGCTCCTTTAGCATATTTTCCACTTCATCTCTAGACACCTCTATCTGCTCTATGTTGTTCTCTGGAATTCTTATTGTGTCTGGTTCTCTGAAGATTTCATTTTGTACAAACACACTTTGGAACTTTTCATTTAATGTTTCACACATTTCCTTTTCATTTTCCGTGAATCTGTTTCCCATTTCCAACCTCTGGATATTATCCTTTACCTGCAATTTGTTGTTTATGAATTTGTAGAATAGGCCCGGTTCTGTTTTACATTTATCTGCTATCCCTTTTTCAAAATTTCTTTCTGCCTCTCTCCTTACTGCTGTATAATTGTTTCTCGCATCTTTGTATCGCTGGTATGTTTGGGGGTTTGGCCTCTTCCTATACTGATTCCATTTTTGTGTCTTTTGGTCTCTTGCCCTCTCACAATTTCTGTCGAACCAATCCTGTTTTCTGGTCCTGCATCTCTGTTTTGGTATAAATTTTTTTGTGCCTTTATCATATATTTCACAAAACTTGCCATACATCTCATTCACTTCCTTGCCTAGCATCAAGTCTGTCCAATTATACTCACTAAAAAAATTTCTAAGGTCACCATAATGTCCTCTCCTGAAGTCTGGTTTTTCAACTGCTTCAACCTCCTTATTTTCTTCCAGCTTATAACGCATTGCATACTTTATTCCCAAAAAGACATGGTCACTTTTACCCAAGGGAGGAAGGTACTGAATGTCAAATATCTCTTCCTCCTTCCTGGTAAATATCAAATCTAGCATGGAGGGAACGTCCCCTTCCCTCATCCTCGTAGCTTGTTTAACATGTTGATACAAGAATGTTTCCAGGATGAGGTCTACAAATTTACAGGTCCAAAAATCTTCTGTTTTAGCTTCATATGCTTCCCAGTCTATGGATTTCAAGTTGAAGTCACCGACTATCAACAGTCGTGATCTATCGTTATCCGCTCTCGCTATAATCTCTCTCATTATTGTTATAAGACCTTCACCTTGTGTGTGTGCGCGCGCGCCCGAGGAGTTCAAAGATGCGGGTTCAGTCCTATTATATGACATCAATATTATCTTATATCACATTCGTATGAATTTATTATGCAGTGTTACTTAAGTAATGGATATGAGATAGTGTAAGTTACTGAAGCACCAGAAGTATTCCTTTAGATATGGTAATAGTAGCAAAGAGAGCTTATTTGGCATAGGAACAAGGGTAGGATTAGTTTACATCTAATAAATCTAACTGTTCTGTTCTTTGTATA